ACCCTCTCATTAATGCCTGTCCCTGACACGCTTTTGCGTCCGGACCATACAGAACCTGAACCCATCCACCAAATTAGCCAAAGTTCAAGTGTCTTGGATTGCGGCATGCAATCTTAATTGTTCTTTATTGAATTTGTAATTAGCCCATGCCATTCCGATCACCGGTACGGAATTCGACATGGAAGATACTCCAAAACACAATACTTAGCTTCTAACCGCTGTATCATGCGCTCTCGCGGAACGCAATGGCTTAGTGATCCTGACGATAGCAGACAGTCGCTGTGTCAGCTCAAACTATTTCTACCTGATGAGTCTAAACAAGGACGAAACGCGTTTTGGAGGGTCGTGTTTAGAGAAAGCAACACGGAAACCCCCTCTTCAAGTGTTTACTAATAACACTACGTCACGTCCTATTTATCCCTTGGTTCTCATCTTCAGGTAGGCGACGGATCTGTAACTCTAGACCGCGAAGTGGAGATTGACGACGCACGCCTTCATGTTTAGACCACGGAGCTTCGCAAGCGCCGGTCGTCACACCGGTCAGAAACTCGTTATCTGGTGTTTGTACTTGCTTTATTGTCACAGATTACCTTACTGTACATTGTGCTTTAGTTTATGGTTCGTATAGTTTCATTCTCGTGGATTGAAGTTTTCATGAAAAAAATGTGTAAAATCATGGTTTTTGTGTCATACGGTTTATCGATGAGCTCAGCTTTTGTCTTATTCCTCTACGGTAACTGATGTATTGTCGGTAGGTTGCTCCCGAATTGCCTTAAGATGATCTTGACTACTTCGGATATGAACAGTTGCGATTTCACATTGGCACTCACCTGTTCCTTTTGTGGAAGCAGTGTTGCCAAATATTCGAATGCGAAAGCACCAACTATGGGGATAAGTGAATTTGTGACTGTGAGACCATACCACTCAGGTCGTAGCGTTACGTCCGAGTCGTTATTGGCTTAAGGCAACCCATCGACTGTATGTCGCTCGCAAGGCACTCATTCTAGTCCCCGTTTTGGATGGACTAGGGAAGAGTTATAGCAACGAATATATTAGGACACAACACAATATCAGCACACCAGACCACAGATATGGTAGGCAATCATAAATATTTTTCTAATATAGTAGTGTCTATTGCCTGATGCATTTATGCAAAAAGTTAGTGGTCTACTGACCAGAGGTCTGTGTGTGCATTTGTTGAAGTGAAGGGGTTACGTGAGCAAACTGGGACGTCACCGATAAGCTTTTGTTACCTGCCCACCGGACGCGATGGACAACTTGGCTAAACTAAACCCAAGGCTATCCTTAATATAACTATCGGAGTGAACGTAACAGAAAGGAAACAGTGACTATGCTGGGGTGAAGGACACGTAGTTAGCTCGGTGCGGATGCGGATCTCTCCCAATGTTTAACGCTGCTGGTGTTTCCAGACAAGCTTACGAGCCCTAAGTGACACTGGAGATCCAGGTATTCACGTACGGCATTGTAGACTCGGTAGCGCGTTGTGCAAAGCCTTAACCCCCCACTGCCAATATAGTTGAATTTCGATGACGGTGCTTCACTTCCGTCTACTTTTCTCCTCCCGGTTCGCGGGTGTGCGCTAACACACACGGAGACGTGTGCTCAGCATGTACTGCAGTGCGCCTGACCCAGAATGAGCTCCGGTTTCCCGGTTATCGTTTGACAATTTCGTACCGACATATATCTGTTATCTGGCGAAACCTATGGTCTACGTTGTGAAGTGCATTTGATCTGTGCTCTCCATGATGCATCTCGCGTTCTGCACATACTGTGAAAGTGGTTCGGGTGGCAGTCGCTGAGCTTGGCAATCTTTTCGTAGACATTACGTCAACAATCGAGGTGACATTATCAGTACGTTGTTGAGTAGCGCGTAGTAGAGTAGGGAAGCCTTGATGAGGCTTCACTGAGCTCAGCTATGCTATGCTACTACGCGTTACTCAACAACGCACTGATGATTCCAACTTGCTTATTGTCGAAACGTCTGTAACAAAATTGCCAAGCTCAGCGAGAGGTTCATCTGACATCTGGCTCCCTACCCGGCAGGCACGCGCTCAATTTCTACCCGCTTCGCATACGGTCTCAGCGATCACATTACCCAGATTCACTTCAATGTGAATCGCGGTCTACATTGAAATTGCGTGTCGCAATTCAATTACACAAAGGCGTATTTCAAAATGAGCCTCAAGTCAAATATATGTAAGTAATGGAAAACTGAATGTTTTCATTATATTCTAAATGGTGAGAAAAACCTCCAAATTCGTTTTGACTTTGGTTAGGCCCTCTCTTACGTGTACTAGTAATGACGGCTTGTTCCACAAATGTGCACACCTTACCAGGAGAAAGTTTGAACTGATTTCTAGTTTCACGTTTTGTGTGCATAGTGAGTAACCTCTGTTTCGTGTAGGGATGTTCCGGTCGTGTCTACCCGGGAATGTATGAATTTGTAACGATAACAGATTGTCTCTCAGTCGGCGCAGCCAGAGGATCTAATTGAAGGTGACGACATCGGTCCTCCTAACTCATAGCGGCAGGTCGTCCAATGAACGGTTTTGTGAATGAGCGCTAGATATTTTCTAGAGTTATTCGATCCGTCCTACCTAGGTACCTAGAGGAACTTACAGGACTCCAATATAGGTCTCAACATGAGCTTAACCATTTCGAGTCGTGCATCGGGTAGAACAAAAGAGTGATGTAGGCTTTCAGTTACCTTATCTTTTCTATATGGTACGATATATGCTCGATCCCTTACTTAATAGGAATTTCGTGTATTTGTACCATCAGTGGTGATGGAGCCATCAGGTGTGCAGCATCCATACCCAAGCACTTAGGATTTTTCGGCGGGAAAATTTTATGAACCAAGTCTCACTCCACAAATTCATGGACGAAAATTCCTCATGTAGCTTCCTGAGGACCATTTCGAGGTTATCAAGTGAAAATCACTATGCACTTATAATATCATCAGTACATAGGTATGTTCGTCCGTGTTTTATGGAATCACAAGTGTAGTAGAGTAGCGCTCCCAGCACATTTCCTTGAACGACTCTAATAGAGAGAAGCAATTCTGACCGCGTCTAACTCTGTGTCCGGTCTTTCAGATAAGATTCCAGCCAGCTTAACAATGGGTTGCCGTAACAGTGTAGGACAGACAGCAGTAGTTTGTGTGGCACTTGACCGAAGGATATTTTTGTGTTTAACAGGATGGCGCCGAATGCCATGCCACCATGAAGTATAGACGTTAAGTGGTCAAAGAACTGCATTTGGCGGGTTGCATTGCATCATTTCGTAAGGAAGCCAAGTTGCATGCCATTCATCAGATAGAGTCGCATTTGGAATTGAACGGAACCTTAGAAGAGGCCGTAGTATGATTTATAGGGCAATACTTTAACATTGCACTGTGTGGGCCCGCTTTGTGCTTTGCTCCTATTATCGAGTCTTTCCACTGTGAAGGAAATAATCCACTGTTTGAAGACAGTGTAAAGACGTTTGCCATCAGTAAAGACATGTTTTTACCTCCAAAGTTAATAACAGCTAGGAAAATGCCATCGGGTCCCAGTTGAAATGATGGCACTACAGAGAGCATACTCTTCTTCACCTCATTCAGACTTATAGAAATGTTAGGAAAAGTTTCATCTATCTTCGTTTTAGCAGAGGATGAGTTATGCTGTTTGCAGTATTGAAGGCTGCATAATAAGCGGTTAGTGCAACACACAGGCTAACATCATCCGTTGTTGAGTTATCTTCTAGAGTCAAACATTGAATTTCACGGTAATGATTTGGATCTCTCCTTTTAAGCAGCTTTGCTTATGTTTCTCCCTTTTGTGGAGTTTATAGGGCTTTGTTTTCCTCAGCAATTTTCGCTTGCTGTGATTGATATTCTAGCTTCAGTAGGGTCTCATGTATTCGAATTAACATGGCATGGTTATTATCTTTACGATATTGTGACCTAAGTTTCTTCAATTTAGTACTAGCTTGGATGCATGACTTTTATTGACTACCACTGGTATGGGTGTTTATCCACTGCAGAGGTGCTAGTAGGTCTGTGCAGGTAGCAAGATTGTATATAAATTCATTTGTGACTAGAGTTGGATCATGTGTTAGGGAGGATGTATCCCATTTCAGGGTACTGATCAGTTTGTCGAAAGTGGCCCAGTCTATGAGGTGGATGCGACGAACAGGCTTGCCATCCACTCCCTTTTTGTTTTCTATTTTGACATTCATACTGCAGAGCACAGTATTATGATAGCAGTCAGCTAGGAGGTTGTCAGTAGTTACGAAAACTAGTGCTTTGTCAATAGTTGAAAAAACTGACGGGATGTCCATGGTCAATATCAGATTTAATATGCTAGCTCTTCTTGTCGGTTCATTGACATGTCGAGTCCAATCATTAAATTGATTGCCTTGGATTATTCTCATGTGGCTGCCGGACATTGTTGATGATGTGGCAAGGTAAAACCACCCCATTTAAACTTAGGTTCGTAAGAAGTGTTGGAAGAAGAGTTAATAGCTTCATCTAACTGTTCAATTTGGTGCCTTGTAGCTCTAGGAAATCAATAATTACAACCCAGTGGAAGATCACTGAAGGGGAATACCAACCAACCTGTATTATCACTGGCGGAGGGACTTCTTTAACGACGCGATCGCTGAGGACACTACAACCGTCTACATAAAGCGTCCAAATGACCACTTTTAATGGCCTATCTGTGGTTGTACCAACTAGTGGTATGCCGAATCTTTCCTATAGTGGTACTTTTCGTTCTGATGCTGATGAGCACTCGAAGCAACACGAACAAAATAGTTGGATCCGACCCTCCGAGAGCCATATTTTCCACCTAGTTTAACTTCATTCACCATATGACAATACTCCTTCCTGAAAAACAAACAGACAGACATTGGTTTCCGTTACCAAGTTCATGATCAAGCTGCCTTCTCGTACTTTCAGATAAAGCACGTCTCCAATCGCACCAGCAATATCTTTACCCATGCTTCCAAGGGATAAATTATCTCTGGAACAAGACGTGCCGGAACTAACAGCCAGCTTTCAAAGAAGCGCATGTGAAATTCTACAGCCCGGTCCCACTGCACTACACGATCAGACACCGGAGTGCCATCCCGTACATGCCACGGGTCCGGCTGTTCGGGTACAGGGCACTTCGTCATTCCATCCAGACTGGTTGCGACTTATGTTTCGGTTGCCAAAGAATGACATTGGACATTTCAATACATTACCCTTCCAGCGACTACACCCGTCCCACCTTGCTTTGCACACTAATGAACACCTGGTGGGTCGACAGGACCCACGGCAGGATATTGACTGGCCTTGCAACGCGTTCCCCGAATCTGATACCCATGTCCAATTGCTGAACTCTAGAAGCTCGTCGATTCGCCAGCTGTACAACCTCTTCACTGCAGCCCAGGAATTATTCTCGTCCAGAATGGCCAACACGTTTGGTACCGCGCAATCATCAACAGTAAATTTACAGAGACCTGTTTTGTTGTCGCAGCCCACAGGTACAGTGAGGTATCAACGAACCTCGACTCCGGTGACAAATGGATCAGTGTTGCCGAAGAGCCCCATACACTCAAGAGCTCTGGAAAGTCAAAATGTGGTCGGGAGCAATGCTGAATTTGTCTCCTCGAGCGAGACAACTGCAGCAGTGTTCGAAGGTATGCAACTTGCTGCGGTTAGTGCTGTTTTCCTTCAATGAGTACCCAAATTAGGCAATTCGATAAAGCTGGCTGATTTGAGAGTAGGGGTCATGTTACAAACGCTTCCACGCCCCCATTGCTTTTTAGCACCAGTTTACCAGTGCTGTATACCTTGAAATAATGAAATACTTTACTCGCTAATGTCAGCAGTGTGAGCATTCCTGCTTAGATTCATTGTAGTAACCTGTAAGCACACCTGTTTGATTGCACTTGGATCATCTTCTTCGCCTTCCTTCAACCGTCTGTTATAACAGGTATTGAACCCCAATACTATGCTGTAGGACTTGTACTATGGAAATTACAGTAGCTTGTTTCTAATGGTTTGTGTCTCGTTCCATCATGTATAGGTCAAGGAAGAGTCAATCAACTGGGAGGCACATTCATAAACGGTCGACCCCTACCGTATGAAACACGACAGCGTATAATACAGCTGTCTAACAGTGGAGTTCGACCTTGTGATATATCCAGGCAGCTAAAGGTCTCCCACGGTTGTGTGAGCAAAATCCTTCAACGATACAACGAAACAGGTAAGTATGAACATATTTTCGCTGCACAACTGGTTTCTACTATCAAGCTTGGGGTAGTCAGAGAGCACCACACTCAAGGAGAATTACTGCATCGTCATGTCTTTCTTTCGGAAATCACCAGTGATGCGTGCCTGGCGGTTTTCCAGATGTTAGTGACTGTCTGACTGAGTATACTTGTAGTTAAATTAATTCTTCGCACTGCCCAGTTAGATCAACACATGTTCGTTACGTGGCATCACCGGGACTCGTTCCCATGACCTTGTCGCATATATCCAGCTGTAGCTGTCCACTTGAGCGTGCACGCCCATAACTGATCTCATGATCACGGATTAACAAACGAAAGCCACAGGCAGTCATCAGGCATGAATCGGTTTGGTTTCTATTCTTCACTGGCAGAGCTACAAACCTCGAGAACACAAGACTGCTTTCCTTGGACAGCCTCAGACCTTTAAACATGCCAGGATTTCCGTCTAATTGCATGGCTTAAATTAGTAGCATGTAAGACACTATACATTTGCTCGAATGAAAAATGTTTATCAGCGCCCTTTACACGATACCGGTTTATGCACGCCATTACTGCGTCACACAAACTAAACAAACTGATTTGACGGTTTCGAACACAAACGATTGGTCTTTCTTTTACCTCAGGAAGCGTCAGTCCAGGGGCTACCGGTGGGGCGCGCAAATCGAACAAACCAAAGAATTGTATCCCTCTGTTGCAGACTCTCAAGAGGGAAGCTGGAAAATACTATTCTGAGGATTGCACAAAGATTACTAACGGGCACAAGAGAAAGTGGGGTCTAAACATCAAACCGGCAAGTGATCGTGTAGAGGAAATGGCTGGATGGAGCGCCGACAAAAGGCTTCCTGAGGGAGGTATCTGTTATCCTGTATCACGGTTACTGGAAGAATACCCATCTACTACTACTCCTGTTCCGGATCCGATTGATCTGCGTACCGGACGATCTTTCTCAGCAGGTGAATCTCATTCAAGTCATACGGCAAACCAGCCGGTGCAGACAGCTATTCCTTTAAGAACCGACATGTCCATTCAGGCAAAGTCGAACACTGACAGTACGTGAAATCCTTCATTTTTTGTTCCTCCCACCTTAACTTCCATCTCACCGAAATTTTTTGACCCCAAGTTTCCTGGTGGCGCTTATCACCCCATTTTGTAAACCGCAGCTTCACCACACTAGAGTTATTCAAGGTCCGTAGGTATGTCTAGCTTTTGCTTTAATGATGGTAGGCATATGGTCTCAAGGGTAGGCTGTTTGATTAGCAACTAGACCCTTTATTCAACCAACACGACAGCAATGGTGCCAAGTTTACCGTTGGCGTTATGTGATGTGCCTACATCATGCGAGCATGAGATAGTGGGACGAAGTAATAAAGTCATGACACACCAGGCATAGTGATTGCTGGGTAGACGAGTGAAATTCGGATGCAAATTTTAGATATTATCCTGATGTCTTCTCTCTCCCACGACATTCATTATCGGTTCCATACTTCATCCTATTTGTCGGGTAAACATAACCGCGTTATGATAGTGTCAAGTGCATCACGACAGCCGTTAAACGCTCGGCTCACTTTGTTGCCAGTATCCAACAACAACGCTTAGGACTGCAGTGAAAATTTGATTTTGGCATGTTGTAAGGTTGGTACCGAGTAGTTTACAGTATCGCATCTCTCACTCCATATAAAAGTTCCCCACATCTCAGACGTCGTAGTTCAATTGATCATGCCCATAATTTTCAAAAGATCCCATTCACCGAAGGATTGACAAACCAAATTGCGAAGTGAACGCGTCAACAAAAAGGAGGATAAGGAAGTTGCTTAAGTCTGGCTTTTACAACTCACACCCGTGAAGCTCATAGTTTCTTTGCTCCTTCTAATCGCTTGCACCGCAGTACCTTACAGAGACCTAGCAGCTACGTATACTCATTCATCTGCACACCTAAAGATTGTCCGCTGCAAGGCTGCTTGTTTAGATGCCACTCCCCAAACAGAACTTTATGATTGAAATCTTGTACAAACGAAGTATATTACAGAACAAAGCGCAAACTTTCTGTTGGACATACTGTTTATGACCACTTTTTGGACACGGCATTGTTCTTCTTAGTTACAGGTGTTGCAGAACAACCCAATGCTTACCTGTCACCAAGAAGAGACAGGCTGTCGCAAAAACGTTTCGACCTTCTCACTAGGCCTTCCGGATGGTTCCCAGACAAGTTCGTGAGACGATGCGTTTTACCAACAACTTCGATATCTGTTAGCACTTCGCATATGATGCATCACGGGGCGATTTCACCTGAGAAGCCCGCAGTGATTGAAAATACAAACACGTTACTCAGTACGGATGTCGTCACTGGGGTCACTGAAGTTACCGACAGTCGTGGGCCGTCTCCCGAAGAGGACACATCTGCCTTTCACACCTCGGCGAACACAAAACGAAGGAGGCGCCACAGAGACAAATCAAGTAACCAACATCCGAACCGCGACTCAGATGACAATGAGAACAGCCCCCGAAAGCTGCGGTCGTCTTCATGGATATATTCGATCGCACGACTTAAGGGCTGCGATATCGATGAAAACACAGTTGGCGAAAAAGCCTTCCCGGAAGTTCCAGAGATAAGTTATCCACATCATCCCCCAGCTTCGCTACACGACACAGAAGCATGTGAATCGGAGTGCAGGGTTATGTCTCTCCCAGCTGACCGATCAGCAACTGACGGCAAGTATGTCCAGTCCAGTCTGCATAGCGTAATGAACAAGCGCAACAGAACAACTTTCTCGGACAAACAAGTGAGTATTGCCCTATATACACTACTTATAGAAGTGGGAAAGCAGGAGATTGATACTAAATACGAAAGCACTTGATATCGGTGTTTTTGGTAATTCATGTGCTGAGGTGGTGAATATTGAAGGTTGGAATACTGTCGTTAGTCTTAACTTTTTATTCCGTACGGGAGTTTGTTAAATCTTCCGCCTCCCTATCACAGTTGGTTGATAATCCGGTCCGTTGAAATGGCAGTAAGTTATCAAAACTTTTGTTTTTCATACAATTACAGGTATAAGTCGAATTTCCGATTACTATCAATAATTTAGGTCTCATCATATATCAGCACTCTCAAACATAAATCACTATTCAACCTCATGATATTTCATGATTCTCGCTGCAGCAACAATTGCGATGTCGTCCTCCCCAGTACCGGTGTCACCGTAGTAACAACAATTACCTCCTCGAATTCAGCATGTTTGTCGGTTTTGTTCTTACCACTCAGGCCGTAAATGTTCTGCTGTTGAATTTAGACAACACATTTAATCTTTCCTGTTTTGCTCCTTTCATATTTTTTCTTTCCAAAAGATCACGCCACTTACCTGCGCTTCATTTATTACGGTACATTTGAAATCTTGCTCGACGATTCAGGAACGTAAGAAAGACAGAGACTTTCGACTGTCCATGCATAAAATATAAGGTCTGGGTTAGGTTTATACCTAGTATGTATATCAATCGAAAGCTTAGATCGAAAATAATGCCACACAACAAATTTTCCAACCTATTTTGGCTGTATGTTTTAGATTTTTCGTTGGCGTAGGTTTATTTTATCACAAAAATGCCACCACCTGATGCTTGGAGCGCGTAGCAGACATTCCCCACATTTTTGCTAAGCTACTGCTACTTGACATACAGAAACTTCGCGTTAGATAATAGTTTATAGAACTTCCCGGTTTGCATCTCATAATTAATAACAACACTGTCTTTAAAAAACGGTGCAGATCGCTTTTCTTGAAATGGCTTTTCAACGCACTCAGTATCCGGACCTCCATCTACGCGAATGTCTGGCCTCTCAAACTCTTTTGCCGGAGTGCAAAATACAGGTGAGCGGTTTTCTAGTCTGATCATGTCGTTGCTTAGAGTTGGAGCCAAGGTCGAACTCCACTCGAGGCGTATTTTCAGCAGAATGCATAACTTTTTCAGCGCTTGCCAAACTCATGTTCTTCGTAAACTACATCCACAAAATGTGTGCGGGCACGACATGAGTTAAACAGTTCGCGTTAAGCAAAGTTAAATCGACCGTTAACTAGGGAAAGAGAGCTGATATGTGTCACTGTAATATTTGTATCTGCGTTTGTAAGCCAGTTAGATCTCAGGCAAGGTGCTTCCCATTACAGGCAAGCTACTCCCTTCATCCACTTCAGGTATGGTTCAGTAACAGGCGAGCGAGGTGGCGCAAACAGTTCCACATCGTTCAAGATAACGAAAGTCCCGGATGTTCTTCTGGTTGTACTTCGGTACTCTGTCGCTCAGATGACGTCTTGTCAGACCCACTCAGAAAGCAGTCAAAGATGCCGACCGTGACAACAGCGTGTCAGTCTGTGCAGGATGAACGGCTGCCTACATATGATTCTCAGTGGTCACTGGTGGTTCCAAATTTGCCTTCGTACGACTTGCTCAGTCGCAGCTGTACTGCACAAGTGCCTCCGTCTTTCTCTGGGTACCTTCTGGGCCGATCCGAGGAGGTGGGGTTTCAAAGACCTGGCTGCGATGATCTTAGTCATTCGGCATTACGGAAAGATGAAGCGTACTTCCTGGCACCTGGCAGCCGTTGCGCATCCTACTCACGAGGGCAAAAAGCTAATTTGGAGCCTTTTGGACTACATCATCCACTTCGATTCGCCTCCAGCACGACTCCCATCCCCGATGAATCCAGTCTGCCTCCTCATTACCCGCCACAAGAAGGTACTAGCGCAAGCGATAACTTGGATTTGTCGTTTCTGCACTCCCATAGCAAGTTCCCACTGCTCACCCGTCCGATCAGTGGAGACCGTTTCCGAACACAGGCAGAAAGGTACGCTGTTACCTGGGCACTTGGTTACCGCGCAGGAAATGCTTTCTAAAATGGTGAGTGTATTATGTGGTGAGGAGAAGGCAATTCACCTACTCAGTTCAATCCCGTGCTCGAATCTGATATCCGTGATACGAAGGGTGGCATGCATGCCAAACTTGATCTTGACAAGCACAAGACGAATGGAAATAAGTTATATAATCGTGCAACCTGGGGTAACCAAATAAGTAGAACGCACAGTATCTGGCGCCGTCGCTTGAAAATGCACACTTCGTTCACAATTAGTCATTGTGAAGTTAAACTAATCAAGGAGGTGTTTGCATGACTGGTGTTTACTCGGAAATTTGCGCGCAGACGAAGATGCGTATCAGTTAGCGCGCTTGCGATCAGATTGTTTCCACCACTGCTAGCCATGCATTAATGTGAGGACTAAGCACTTAAACCCAGAAGAAATTAGTTACCGTGTCTTTTCCCCCGATTTACCTCAGCATGAGTATTCAAGCAACCAAAAGATCTGTTCCTATTTAACTAATGAGACGCAACTTACGTGCCCCTTTAGGCTAATGTGATGTTGTAGCGTGGGACTTCCTTGAGCTGTGCAACAGTATCCGCATTTCTATTATATACTCTACTCTGAACCAGTTCAAGATCAATTGTGTCTTGTGTCTTGCTCTTCAGACGAACTAGATTGTCTGCACCAGGTCTCTTGCAGAGGTCTCGCGTCACCAGACCACTTAGCTGAAAGACTGCTGCTTGTGACTACTAAAAATTCATTTTGGCTTTTCGAGTACCATACCATTTATCTTCTTCAGATACTGTCCCGACAGTTTAACCACAATTACCTAATTTCATGGTAAATCTCTGCCATAGCTGGTGTCTACTGTCGCAACCAAAAAATGAACCGGCATTCTAATAGCCCAACAATAGACGACGCACTCAATCTCTACTCGTAAAGGTATGCATCTACATGTGAAATTAGATGCGCAATACACTTGATGGTACTAGCTTCCTAAATAATCGACATAACCTTTGCTTACAATTCTGTTCATGTCTTATTTTACTTAGTGAAGCTGGTAGAGACCTGCATACACTAGCACACTTAGCGGACCGAACGATTCGCAATGTTGCCCACGAGATTGAAGTATATTTAGGTGGGCTGCATTGCTCTTCGGATTCATAAAATAAGCGCTAGATGGCAATTTTGCTATTTCGGGGCTAGGCTATGCTTTCGTCTGCATGCAGTCCCCATCTGACTGAGTCTAACTATGAGGACTTAAGCCCATAACACTTAAATCCCACTACGATCTGATCTAAAATATAATACTAAGGCCGTTTCAAATCTTGGCTTTTTGGTAAAAGTATTGTGGAAAGCCATGAAACTACGTTGTGCTTGCAACAGTCCATAAATCATTGCGCGCGTAGAGACTCGCGAGTATAGCCAGTCATGACTCGTCATAGGAATAGCATTCACAGCGGCTTTTGAAGTGCCACCCCACTTTCTTAATTGTGATCAGCAGAACCGAAGCGATTGAACTGACATAACTTCGCCTAATTTTGTTTTTATTCCACTGGCTAGTGTTTTGGTTACTTCATGTCGTTGATCCATTATCCGTTGTATAATTAAATATCACGGCTATATCCACTCGCTGTCACAGTGGGTGATGTCTGAATTCAACATTGACATTACATCATGCGATCCTTATGAACGTATGTTTCATTTAACATCCAGGTTTCGGCAGCAGATCCGTCTTCTCATCAGTGCAACACACGGGTGCCTTCCTCGAGCTGTGGGCAGTGCGCAACGAGCCGACAGATAGAAACTATGATGGAGGCAAGGACAACACAGAGAGATCTGTGAACATAGCTTTCTAATCGCAAATAGCGCCTGTTATTTATGGTCACTACATCGTTGAATGAACCGCATTCTGGTGGCAGGCAAGTGTGCAGTCTTTCAAACAGCCGAGCGCGATGCATATTTTTCGGTTAACATTGATTATTATGGAATTCATATGATGCATTTTTCTGTGCTGACATGTGGTTGTAAAGTTCATTACAAACTCTTGTATCCATTACTCTCTTGTGCCCTGTGTACATTTGGTTACCATTTCGGGAATTGGTCTCGTCGTAGGTTGACTGAAACGTGAACTCGACTAAAACCCGGAGCGAATCTCGTATCAAACAAATGACATGACCGTGAACGACACTCAGAGGTCATTGCCCGGCCAAATTGGGTTCCACCAGCCAAAACCGCTTATATGACAGTGGACTGGACGAAGCGACAAGCTGTGTTTGTTGAGTGAAGCAGGCAAGTGCGAACTGCATGACGAATGCATACATTTGATGGCAAGCGGTCTGTTTAATTAAGATCAACAGGACAGCACTAACGTCGACACGGCGTACCAAGTGAAAGTCAGAGGCGACTCAATACTTTTCGATCGTCTCATAGCCCTTTATCAACGCCTCCATGGTCAAAGTCCGATAGCGATCAAATTGGGCTTCCCCTCCCATAGGAGCTGTAGTTGCAGGCTCTATGAGGTATGCAACACTAAGACGTTAAAAAATTCATAATCGAATGCGACTGCAGATGGAAACGGAAGCGCTTGAGCAATGTCTTGACGACCGGTGGGCGTAGAGAACCATGGTTACAAGGTTTAGATCAGTCTTACCAATAGCCCTTCCGGCACTAACCAGTCCTACCAAACGGGCCCCGTTTTCGGCATTACGTTGTTTGCTGTAATTACGCGTGGTCAATGTACTCTTCCGTATGTTACTTGTACAGCGTTACTGGGCTTCATGATTAAGCTGGATAATTGTCAGGGCTTTATCCGATACTGACCGACTGACTGATATTCCACTATCACGCTGTCTCAACTAGCACCCACACAATTCAAATCGGTGAGCTAGGCAAACTTTAGGACAATTTAGACGCTTGTCCGTGTGAGCCTCTCAATACAAACCTCCTATCTATGTTTAAATTTTTCTGGTGGATCTATTCACGCACTAATAGCAACGTATCCGACAATCGTTAATCTTCTCCCCCATGTTCTATCTTAGACTAAAAGCCACAGTCAAGGCGCAATTCTTGCACACTGTTACATCGGAAGCAGTGCTAACAAAAGCGCTTCTCTGGTTCACTAACTCTGTTCTATTAGAACCCGGCACATTTAACCGAACTTTCACATCCGCTCCAGCGGGATTCGTTACAGTATGTAAACCTCGAATGTTTCGTTTCCATAGTGGTGAACCTAGGATTTTCACACAATTGCATTATTTGTGTAGTCTCCTTGGAAGGAGTGTAGTTATCCACTCCTAACGAAAAAGTCTGACAATAGATTAGTTCAACTGATTGATACAATGAAGTCACGACGACGGTTTTGATAGGAACCGGTGCTTCCGAAGCTGCCGTAGCAAACATCGAACACGCTTAGTATATGGGAAAATGCTCTAAGTATGGTTCTTAACATATAACTCAGAGCGACAGTGAACGTTGAACAAAGTCTACTGGTGGAGCGTTCCTATAGTCTACCCATCTCGCAATGTGCTTAAAATGACTTACATTTCCAAGTGGAATAAATACTGCAGTGCCTTGCTTACTCCATCAATTAATGGTACTCAATCCTTCCGGGAACCTTTACATAGCTGCTACAATATATGTGATATGGAAGTTGTTAATGTTGCTGTCTACAATTACATGCCCTTAGGGCAACATCTTCAATAACGATGATTTATAGGGTACATCAGGATATTTGGGTACGGTGAGCAAAGAAGTTTCGTTAGGGTACAAAGGTCCTATCAAGTACTACACGGCTATTTTTCTCCTGTGGCCGAAGACTGCTTTTAGTTTGACAGGGCGACGAGTTAAGATGCTGATGTGATTGTGATCAAGTCAACCCACTTCAACATTAGCAAGGCGCATGTAACTAGATAACGAGGTGAAAACGCGGGCTAAACACAAGCAGCTGAGAACGAACCATTATATACGTAAATCCTCCACGGAATTTCGATGATGGTTTTCATCCAGTGTATTACCTTACATTATAGTAATGTATCTCCCCTCTTAGTTGAGCGTTTGTAACTTGCAACCTTGTGCGAATGATAAACCTCTGAGAGGAATCCGAAAAGAACTCAGCGATGACGTCTTACTCGTGCGTGTATTCGACCCACTACCATGCCTCCGGAAGTGTCAGGACCGTAGGGACTGGTCAAGACACTCACTTGAACGGTGGTCCGTAATCTGACAGTAAGCCACCTTACTGAGTAACAGAGTGCACAGTGCAAGACTTTTGGTGTGCATGACTCAAAAACTAAAGTTTACTCGTGGGCTGGTTTATCAGTAGCCTACTTGTCACACTGTGCCCGTGTGCTAACGACCGAATCGGACATAGCCCATGAATTTCCCGCTTGATCAAAGTGAGCTGTTGCTGGCGAAGAGCAGACATTTCCTGATAAGTGGTAGAAAAACTTATCATCAGACAGTTTGACTCGTGCGGTTAAATCAATTTTGGTTGGTTATTTCTCTATTTGTAGCGGTTAGTAGTATGTAGTGTCACAATTGGTCCTCGCTAATCGAGTAAACCTGGGTTGGCTGGTTGGTCCACGCCGCTCAAAGGTCGGGGACCCTAACATAGGAGCGTACCCCACAACGAAAATTATGCGGAATTGGGTGGTAAGCAGTAAAAATTTGAATTAGCATACTTTCAAGCAAAGGGGCAATGAACAAGCATTGGTTAACACAACATTATCTGTGAAACAAGTTTCAATGATACTGTAGAGTCAGCCCATGGGGTAAATCAGTCTACATGTCACTCATTTTGTCCTTCCGTTCTCGATACTGCTTACTATGAACTAAAGTTATGCACTATTTTGCGCGGATTTCTTGCGCAAAATATGGTTAGTATAACCTGACTGCAGTTTTCCTTCTCTCATTTGGATGCCAAGGGCCACTTGCTGTTGGCTCAACAACTCAAATCGCCAGTTGAAAAGACAGAAGCGCCACAGTCAATCTATAAGATGATCCACTCATCGTAGTTGTCCGCCTCTATTAAACCGATT